ATGTAGCGGGTTTTCACTCCCTCTTTTTCCTCTGCTACAAGACCCACATGCCCCAGATAGAAGCTTCTTTTTCAGCTTTGGTCCCGAGATGAAGATGTGCAAATGAACAGCAGCTCATGAGTGGTGGACTGGAACGGGGGCTGAGAAATAGTCGTCTGTGCTGGTAACCCAGTAAGATATTAGAGGTTATTTGTTACTGAAGCTTAATCTGCCCAACAAATGGCTGATGCCACCCAAAATTCCCACCACGCATGGAATATTTTCTCTTTAATAACTGTGTTCAAAACCTCCCTCCGCTAGAATATTTTTTCATCCCTCTTGCCTCCCCAAAATGCTATCTACTTTCAAATGCCTTCTCCATGAAGTTTCGTCTGATTATCCTAATCATAAATGATCCCCCCTTTTCTAAGCAGCACACTAATATATTACCTGTAACAATTTCTGTAAATAAATGTTGTTGACTACTCTAGCCTGAGAATGCTTTTTCTATGGCACTGATTACAATATTTCATTATATTACTACTTTCCTCATGTCTTGTCATGTTTAGTATAAACAGGGATCATGCTTTTTCCCATTTGTGGAAACGTAGTACCATATAGTTAGAAAGGCACAGTCAACACTTGTTGAAAAATAAATGACACAGGTTTCAGCTGTGGGTAAGATGCGGTAATCACACTCTACTCTTTCTCGCTGCCGCTGAACACAGCTCTCTAACTTGGTGCTTAAGCACACAGGGAATTCAGTTAGTGATGGTTCCAGATTAAGAGGGCTCAGTCTTTCAGTTAAACGATAGTTGAAATGTGGTTTTGGACTGCAGAAGAAGTTTTAGACTGGTGAGATCCAAAAAATTCCTTAAACTCCGTTCTATGGGCCTGAGAATTGGCCAGTTACACAAGCGTTAACCAGGACATTGGCTCTACAGTGGCTATAATTGTGTTGTTGTTGTTGTAGGTATTTGAGACACCAACCAGAGTTCGTAATTCTAATGATCTCTCCAGATTTATGGCTGCAGCATCCCCAAGAAGGGGTAGGGAGGGGCATATAGTGAGCTACCCTCAGGGGATCAGAAAGAAAAGGGAAAGTGAGGAGGTATGATCTAGAATGCTGAGGGTGGTGTTTGCATGACAATCTGCATGCCTTATGAAACTGACTTTATTTCACAGTGAAGAAGATACTTTGAGGAATAGTAGAGATCCTTCTTAAATAAATAGTTACTTCCTCCTGGGGAAAAATTAAACAATTAAAGATGTAGTAGCACTGGGCAGATTGGCCAATAAACAAGCAACTTGGATGGAAAAAAATCAAACAGGGATTTTACTGTAAGGTTTAGACTAATCCAGGACGCTCATGGATTTGTTGTGGGTGAATGAAGGAGGAGACCAAATGGGGAAAGAGGCAAGAGGCAGTAGGGGAGGCCAACTTTAGAATCACCCACACAAGTTACTAGAGTGTCATTTTCAGTAGCCATCCTACCTCAAGATGTTCCACCCAAGCACTGGTTCTGAAGAGTCTTCAAAACTCCATTGCCACCTTCATTTCCTGCCTGCCCTGGGCTTCTATGATGTGTGGGTTGGGATAAGAGGTGGAAGGGAAAACAGCAATGCTATTTCATCGCACAACTCTAGGGGGCATCATCCACACTGCATTTATGTAACAGAACATTGTAATTCTCCCTTTCCTCCCTGTGGCCTCAACAGGGAGGAAACACAATGTTTTCCCTGAACCACTTTCAAAGCCACCTTTCTATTTGATTTCTATTATATATTTAACCATTCCTCAATTCCCAAAGCACTAGTTCAAAATTTTTAAATCTTTTCCTTTCTTTCAACATGTTGTTGATACAGGATAGAGGGAGTGGATGAAGCTAAATGATTTTTACCTGCTCTCCTTAAAAAGAAAATCTCTCGTGCTAACTAACCTCAGTTTTTAAAACATGCATTTTAAAAAGTGCAAATCCTCTAATCTAACTCATAAAACATTTAATATTTTGGATATATGGCTTTAATGACCATTCAAAAGTCACGGTGGCTGGACAATGGGAGCTGCCAGACTATTGTCCATTGACCACAAAGCCATGAGGTGGCTCTTTTTCCAGGGTCAGGAGGTCAAGCTTCACAGCATTAATTTTGCTGAGTTTCTTTGTTATAAATAACAAACAAGGTCATTTATTTTCATTTTCTTGTTTCTAATTGCATGCATCTTCTCCCGAGGATGAACTCCATAAACAGGTGGCTGGAATGCTGGGGAGAAAACTTGAAACTGTTCCAGAAAAAGAGGGCATGTCCCACTCTAGCGAAACAGTTTGATGAGTTGGAGATTTAGTCACTGCAGGATACGCACCTGCACTATTACTCGAAAAGCAAACACTCATCTGTTTGGCACACACAGATCTATGTAAATTAGGAGAGATTATTTTGCTGCTAGTTCTTGGCTGTTCTGTGATCAGAGGCAATTGTTTCCCATTTCTTAAGAAACAGAATCTTTATTAGACTCCGTTCTTTTCTTGGTTATTTTTACAATTTTATTGTTCTATGGTTATTAAAAAATAACATGTCATATAAATTAAGCCTAGAAACATGGACGCTTATCAAAGAAAGGATTGTCATCCAAAGCTCCAACTATGAGAGATATTTATGTGCAATGGTATACAGATCTGTTATAGAAGGGTTTAATTAATATCTGCCTAATGATTTTCTCTCCTTAATGCCTCTATAGCTGTCCCCTAGCAAAGAATAAAACTGTGGACTGACCCCCACCCATTTGCGAAGAAAGTACTGGGTCTTCAGCTTTCATTGTCCAGTCGGTGGTCTTTGTGGACACCAGGGGCCTCTCCTGCTGAAGACTATCTGGACTTCCTGATTTTCACTCCTGTATAAACCCCCTCCCCCATTAGTACCTTTGTCTCCTTGGCAAAAAAAAAAAAAAAAAAAAATGTTTTTCACTTAAGTAAAATAAAAACTACCCAGTATTTGTTTCTGGAGTGAAATTATAAACTTCATTGTACATTCTTCCTGGTTTTGATGCTTATCTTGAAGAGTTCAGTGAAAATAAATTGTTTTTATGAAAGCAGAGAAACCATTTGATAAACACGCTGTCTCTGAAAATTGTTCCTGCAAAAGAGGTCATTCTTTCACTTTTAAAGAAATAGAATATATTTCAGAAAACAGGCAGGACGACAGTTTAGGATTTCTGTGAATATAATTTTTTTAAAGGCAGAGTATAAATACAGTGAAAATTGCACACCTCCTGATTGTGTTGAGTATTTTGGTTTCTAAGATAGCTTTACTGAAGAGCTACTTAGGTCACAAGCAAATACTTGCTGCATTTCATATTTGTGGTAATGAATTCTTGGCTTAATAGTATTTTGCTACCAGGGTGTTGGAGGTTACTGTTCCATAATTACTATATATCTGTCAGAACCTTTGGGTGTATCTATTCTTAGTAAAAGTAATAGTCAACTGACAAAATGATTAGTTTTCTAGAGCTCTTCTTGTGCCTGGTAATACAGAGACCAATAGGACTAAAATTGTTTGTAGTAATATGAGAAACAACCTCATGTACACAACTGAATATATATTTGTTATCAAGAAGGAAAAGTTTGCTTATTTTTCTCCCATTTCCCCAGATTTCTGTATTTTTTGGATTTCTGTATTTTTTGACCAAAGTAAAAATATCAAAATAGTTCACGTCTTCAGACCAGAAGAGTTTAGATTCACTGAAAACTGAAGCTAAACAATGGCTATGCTTGGGGATTTTTTTCACAGTGTAATTCCTGTGTGGATCTCTCTATGGTGATTTGTTTTATGTCCTGCACTAGTGATGTGTCATCAGGTCCCCCAGGTAAGAATTCTTCCTCTATACCATGTGTAGGTTCACTATGGTGAGAGTCTTGGTAGGTTCTGACTTGCTTTTATTTGCATGTGGTTTAGACTATGCATGTGAAGTGTTGATTTGCAGATATGAAAATCTCCTAAATTTCATGAGGATACACATATTAAGAATCCAGGCTGGATAGGAATGCTACGATTTATGACACAACACCAAGTTCAGATATAAAACTGAATATAAGGTATTTTAGCAATATAGCAATAAATATATTTAGCAATATTTTAGCAATACATTAGCTGTTACTATGAGAATAGATGAGAAGAAACGTGAGTAGCCCTGGCCTTGTTAATTTCCACTTGGAGCTACCAATAATTTGGTTACATTACATATTGCAAGGATCATAATATTTGGATAGGATTTTTCATCACCCAAACTCAAGAGAATTAAACTGTATATACTGTTTAATAGTATTTGCGTCTCATCTTGGGCAAGCAGAACACGGAGGGGTTAAATTACTTTCATAGATTTGTAAAAGTGGGGGTTCCAGTGAGATTTTTGGTTATAAAACTCTGGCAGGTTTAATGAAGTCCTCGTGGGGACTTTCTTGCATAATTTGAAACCAGATAAAGTAGAGAAAGGTTTCAGCTTCTGTCAAGATGTAAGGTAGTTTTCCCACAACGTAAAGTTTGTGTATTTTCTCCCCATTTTTAAGGGATTCTTGGATGACATCAACTATTTAATTAGAAACATCAAGCATTATAATAAGATGGACAGTTTTGATCCAAATCATCTCAAAACCCTAAAGGAATTTTCTTATGCCCAGAAGTTGCATTTTGGCTGCAGAATTGATTCTTCTGCTGCCCTTCTAAGTCAATAACTGTTAGCATTGTTCAGCATAAATTCAAAGCATATTTAAGATATGTTCTTGGAGAAGTTTCTTCACATTCAAGGCTAATCCAGTATAAAGGAAACCTTTGTCTACGGCTTTCAGAAACAAGACTGCTGACAGACTGAAAACAGTGACACCCTTAAGATAACAAATACCATGACAGTTACAATTGCATTTAATTTTTTAAAGCATCATTCTAAAGTTTTTAATGGATAGTCTTCAAAACCACTGGAACCCTTAAAATTAGATGATAGTGCGAAAGCAATGGAGAGTATAATCAGATCATTTCTAAAGGAAACCACATAGGATCCTAGTTTTAATATTTACGAAGAGTCTACAACAGCAGGGTGCAAAAGGCCCCCACCCCACCCAAGGTAGATTGTTCTAATTCACATCAGAGGCCCTGGATACACTCTTCTCAAATCCTGCCTTAAGGTTCCCTGCAAATAAATTACACTATTAAAACATTCTGATTTTTTTTCCTTCTTCCTTCCCATGTTCTTTCTGAACTTTCTTTCTTTAATGAATATTTATTTCCTGCAAACAAACTATGTACCAAGCATGGTCTGAGGTTCTTGGGATTCAGCAATGATCTATCAGTGTGCACTGCCTCGTCCCTTGAGCCTTCTTATACAAATACCATGGGGATATAGAGGCTGGCATCCTTCACACTGTATGTGAGTTTGTTTCTCATGTTGCTTCTCTCAACAGCAGCTAGTGGCTGTGCCATGTCAGTATCTCCAGGTGACTGGGATGGTTCAGGGTATGTATACACGTGTGCATGTGAGTACGTGTGTATTTTGTGTTCCAAGAGCTCAATTCATAGTCCTCTTTGAGGACTTCTATATGTGTCATGTTGGGAATCGAATCCTCTTTCTCATTCACAAGTGCCTAAAATCATGTCTGGCACATGGTAGGTACTTAAATAAATAAATAAATAAATAAAGCTAGCTGCCAAATGCGTGGAGATTGGGCAAAATCGTCAAGTCAGCAGCCTTCCCCGATGCCCTTTTTCTGTTCCAGTGATTTTCTCATTCTAAATGCCTCAACATACACATCTTCAGCTCATCACCCGGATTCTTCCCCTCCCCCTAAATCAAAATCCAAACTCAGATCTTTTGCTTACCTTACATCCTAAATCAAATAATAAAATGCAGACGGATGAGTATTGTTCCCTTCCCAAAAGCCTTTGCATCCTAACAGGGAAGGGAAATTTAAGAGAAAGACTTTTCCAAAACAATGGCCAGAAGTTAGGGATTGTCATTGCGCATTCCTAACTCCTGAGAGCCTTAGGGGTAAAGTTCTCGCTTCATTTTCTAGGCTCCACCGCCCAAAGCTGAATGCAGCACATCAGTCCACTTGCAATTCCCATTCTTGCAGCTAGCGGGTTTCCGCTGCAAAGCGTATTTATATTCCTGATCCTCGAAGTCTGATTACAAGTTCAGGTTTAGTCTCTGTAACTTTGATTATACTTTTCTTCGTCCTTTAATCAAGCTCAGATTGCTCCAGATGCAAGACAGAATGAGCAGAAGGTGAGGATTGTGAGTCTGCAAAGAAAAACTTAGCTTTCCAGACTTTTGGCTCCTTGTAAGAGCTATCTGTAAAAAAAAAAAAAAATTTAAATTCTTTTTTGGTACCCCAGATCATCACATTGCTCCTCTCCTGTGACCAGATCGTGCTCTATAGGCTATTGTTAAATACTAATAGCGAAACTTAAAAGATGTTCTCTTGCGAGACAACAGGTGGCCACTGCAACCTCCAGCTCTGATTGGTGGAAAGGCCACAGGCGCCCAGTGGCCCACAGAAAGGGCCTCCACTTCTGCGTTTCAAGAACTTACTCAATGGGGTGTTGTCCTGATAATATCTCAGCTCACTGTCAATTTGTGCAACCTGCTGGGCCATTAGGGAGCGCCGCTGGGTTGTCAACGTTAAATGGAGACTAGGGAGGGGAAACCAAAGCTTTTTAGGGAGGGTGGGGATAGGAGTCAACCCAGGGACAATGTGAGCAGTTGTTTCTTTTCTGAGTACACACTGCTCTCTCGTGCAGTCTCCTGACCCACGTTTTTGCCAAGAGAAGAGCAAATACAGAAACTTCCACCTAATTGAAGTTTATTTTTTTCTGCTCCGTTCCAGAAAGATAATATTGAGCGAAGGTACACACACAGGTGTCGCAAGCCCGATCCACTTTGGAGAACAGAAGAAATGAAAAGAAAACCCATGTCATGCTTGTCTGAAAAAGCTCAGGCCCTGGGCCAGCAAGGTGTGACCAGGGGACAAAACTGTTAGCGAGTGTCATAGGAAATATTTCAGAATGTCTCCGTTATGGTTAAAGTGGCTCGCAGATAACAAAGCTGGGGAGGGGGCAGATCTCACGGCCTCTCCACAACGTTCCCATCTAGTATAAAGCCTCTTCCCTTCGCCAAGGCTGAAGGCCAAACTCTCAGATTAACTCAAAGCAATAAAGCCGATGAGAAAATAAATAAACAAAAAGATGGAGCTTAAGAAAGATAAAGAAATAAAGAAGGGGTGGGTGAGTGCAGAGTGGGGAAGTTAATCAGCTAGGACCTTTTAGGAAAATAGGGACATTTTCTCTCCAAGAGCAGTGAATGATCTGCCTAGATCCAGTTACTCAAATGCCTTTCGAATACAAACAAGAGCAAAGAGAATACGAAGAGAACCGACACGAGGCTTCACTTGGGAAGCTTCAAGTCTGCCTACCTGTGAAAGGTCAGGCCCCAACACCCCTTCTGGGAAATCCTACAGGTGAACTTTGGGTCCCGGTTCCCAGCTACCGGGAGACACTCTTGCAGGTTGGCGTCTGGGTTAGGTGTGTCCACGCAGGGGACATTCGAAAGGCAAGGCGGGGTCGAGGAGAGGGGCCCGGGCACAGGCACCCGTAAGGAAGGAAGCGGGGCGTGGGGAGGAAAGCGACAGGAAGGGAGCAGACGGCCTGGGGATGCTGGGGCCCGGGGAAGCGGTGGTCGCGCAGGAGGAGGGTGGGACACACGGGACGCAGGGCTGGCGTCCGCTTCGGCCGAGGAAAGGAGGGGAGAGAGGAGCGCTCCGAGGCAGCGGGGACAAAGAGGACCGGAGCGGGAAGGGGGGCGAGGTGGGGAGAAGAGGGGCCCCGGAGAGGGGGAGGCCGCGGCGGGGGTGATGGGGCCGGCGGGGCGGGGTGGGCGCGCCCGGAGGCGGTCCGGGCCGAGGAGCGCACCGGCGGGGCGGGCGGCGCGCCAGCTGCCCGCGGTGGGAGGGGCGGAGCGGCGGCGGCGCGGGGAGGGGACCGGCGGTGGAGGCAGGAGGGGGAGAAGGAGGGGAGGGGCCGGGCCCCTTGTCTCCGCGGCTCGTCTCCTCAGTCCGCCCGGGGAGGAGGAGGAGGAGGAGGAGCGGGGCCAGCCGCCGCCGCCGCCGCCGTCCCAGCCTCGCCCAGCGCACCTGAACTCGCCGCGCCGTCCCGGGCCCCCGCGCCGCGCCCCGCGCCCCGGCGCCGGCCGCGCGCAGCGCTGTCTCGGTGCCCCGGCGGGGCGCGTCCCCCGGGCCGCCTCCCGCTCTCCCGCGGCTCGCGTGGCCGCGCCTTTGTGTGCGGCGGCCGCGGCTCCCGGGCTCCTCAGGCTCCGGTCGCGGCGCCCCTCCGACCGCGAGTCCCGCGCGCCACCCCCGGGCGCCCCCGACGGTGGATCTAGCGGCGGCGAGGAGGCGGGTCCCGGCCCCGGCGAACCCCAGTCCCGGCCCCCGGCCCCGGGCCCGGCTCCGGCATGGATGTTAGGTTCTACCCCGCGGCGGCCGGGGACCCTGCCAGCCTGGACTTCGCGCAGTGCCTGGGGTACTACGGCTACAGCAAGGTGACCGGGCCGGGCCGGGGGGCGGGTGGGCGGGGGCCACCTCGCCATCCCAGGCGCGCCCCGCGCTCGGGCTCACCGCCTGCTGCACTTTTCTTTGGCCTCTTTCCTCCCCTGTTTACTCCTTTACCTTTGAGCCTTCGTCTCTGTCCAGCTCTCCCCGCTTCTGTTTCTGCTCCATCCCACGCCGCTTTTTGTCCCCTAGCCGGCGCTCCCCTCAGCCTCTCCGCTCCCTCCCACCTCCCCGCCAGACTCTCCTTTGCTGCACCAAAGAAGCGAAGAGAGACCGAGGACTGAAAGAGGGGCTCCCGTGTGATTGTTTGTTGCTGTTATTAGTAAACACGATCGCAGCCCCCCTGGAGTGAGTGGGGGGCAACGCAGGGGGTCCCTGATCTCCTGGTCCGATGATCTTGCCCTCCCCCACTCCCAGTCCTTCTTACCTCCCCCACCTACTCGAGAGCCGGCCTCAGGGCCGCTTACGGACGGAAAGGAACAAACTTTTGAGTATGCCTTGGACAGGGGAGTGGGGTAAGTGGTGGGACCCCGCAGGTGGCCTTTGCTGCCCTTTCGCTAGGGCGCTTTGGACCTTGGAACCGGGGTGCCCGCCCCTCCCCGCTTAGCGTAAGTGGCTTCTCTCCTCTCATTTTTTTTTTCTGGGACGGGGGTGGTAAGTTTTGCATTTCGGGGAGATCGGGATTGGAGACCTCCACACCATACCCTGGGGTCACCTCACCTTCTCCACCTCCCCCTGCGCCAACTTCGAGGACCGAGCGTTCCAGGTGGCTAGGTGGACCTCAGAAGGGCAGCAGGCGCCGCTCGGAGCAGCGAGGCGGGCGAGAGTCGCAGCCCTGGTACCCGGGCAGCGCAGAATTCCCCCCCGCCCTCCCACCACCACCCCTCGGTGTCCTCTGTCCTCCCTGAAGCCCCCAGCGCCGAATTTGCCGAAAACATCACCCTGAGGGCGAAATTCAGAGAAACAGTCGGGCTCTGGATGGCCTGTACCTTTTGAATGTGGTTTTCTTTACCCTTCCTCCTGCTCCTCCCTCCTCCCTCCCTTTTTCTTTCAAATCGTAGTTTGTTTATGATTGCTTGGATAACAGGAGGAAATAAGGAGTCTGCTAAAAGAAAGGTGCTAAACAAAACTAATCAATAAATAACAGGAAGAGGAGGAATTGCATCTAGAGTGAGGAACAGTTTGCTGTGCCCCGTGGCTGATGGAGGCTCGTGTTCCTTTCTATTTGTTTATACTCCGTTCCCAACTCCAGTGCTGAAGTTTGTAAAAAACCATTAGGGTCTCTCTTGCTCGCCTTCCAGTGTCATCATCGCCCAGCTCCGCGTCTGGCACAGAGGGGCCTCCCAGCAAATATAGATCGAGGGGACTTTATTCCTTGTGCTTTAACCCTTTGGTGGTTGGAGCGTTCCTGCTCTCCGCATTCTAAGGGCTACGCTAAGCATTTAAAGAGAGGCAAGAAAAGGCCGATCGCTGGAGCCAGAGTTAAGGATTAGTTTGTGTCCTCTGATTTTGGATTTACTCAGGTTATTAAATGCTTTAAAAAGTCCCCCATGTATGCTCAGTCAGGGACTTAGGCAGCCTAATTAAGTATGTAGTGTTTCTGAGAATCCACCTAATTGTTCCAGTGGGGTATTATTTATCTCCTTACAACTTAGCATGTGGATGCAAGCCTTGTATAAACTGGGCATGCTCTTATTTTTGGAAGCCATTACCTTGCCTAATGTAACTCCTTCTTTCTCTGATTTAAGATCAGCAACACTCGAATGACACCAAAATAGAAACCTATTGTACAAATGCAGTGACTGCAATGCGTGGCAAATCTCTGTTCACTGGGATCCCAAGGGTACTTCAAGGGACCAGAGGAAATTGGGGGTGTTTTGTGTGTGTCTCTTTTTTATTTTCTGAGAAAGGCTATTTTGAGTCTATTTAAGCTCGGAACATTTATTTCAGGGAGGGTATATAAAGCTTGAAAACAGACATTATTTATTGAGATGCTTGTTCAGCTTCAGGAGTGTGGATGCAAGTTGGCTTACTGTCGTATTTTCTTAATGCAGCTATTTGCCTGAAATAACTTGCTTTCTTACTTATTTAGCAATCTGATCGTCATCAGTGTTCTGTGTACCCAAGTTACAAAAGTTAGACATAGCGCTTAATATTGGTAGGAATCAAATTATACTTATTTTAAGGGATGTTTGTATTGACTTCCTTGCAGGTAAAAATATAACTATCTTTAAACTGAGCCACAATACTATATTTTGCTACTTTTATTTTCAGAAGTGAAAAACACAATTTAATTTTCCATAATTTTTCTTTACAGAGAATATAGTAGAAGAGGAAGTATTAACTTTATGGGTATAAAGCAGCAAGTGCTAATTAAAGGTTTATAGCATTTTGTTTCACAGCTAATTTGTGTGTCTGAAGTGGTGCTGTTCAATATAGGTTTATACTGAAAATGTAAAAACTGAAAATGTAAAAATAAAGACATGCATTTATTTTATTAGAAAATACTCAAATTATTAATTAATCTCTAAAGACTTAACTTTTGATGACATGTATTATCTTTCTGGATAGGAAATGATGGATTTCAAAGAAAGTATGTTTCTGCCCTCTCTTGTTTTAATGACCATCTGGGAAACTTTAGAAGAAACACAGAACTCTTGGCTCTAAGCTTAACAAGTGAAAGTTAGCGCTTATCTTTAAATTTATTTACAAACCGTGAATAATAGGGTTTCATTCATTTCTCTCTTTAACAAATGACCAGAGTCCTTTGTATAAATTATATGAATGTGTATTATCTTTACATTCTGTGAGTATATGGATCCTTTTCAAATGTCAGCGCTCGTGAAAGTGTACTGTGTCTATGGAGAATGGATGAAAGAGTTTTGTGGGTTCAAAAGTCGTTGCAAGTAGGAGAATAACTTCAAATAAAATATAGCCAGGATCATTAAAATCAGTTAATAATTCATGAACCAGCCACTGATGTATAAACTTAAAGTCATCACTGTTTCCTAAGGGCTAATTTCCATTTTAATTTCAAGTAGAAAGTTGACTGTTTGAACATTTCTTTTTCTGGTGTGGTTAACAAATTAAACCCCGTATATTAAGAAATAAAAACTCATTATGTTACTCAAATGAATTGGTGACTCTTTGACTATATATTTGTAATTTTTCTTTCCTGAGTTCAATTTGTCTTTTCACCAGTAAGAAAATAATACACAGAATATCAATTAGCAAATATAATTTAAGTAGCACTAATCTGAAATCCAACATACTCCAAAATCCAAAACTTTTTTGAGCACTGATGTGACGGTCAAAGGAAATGCTCACTGAAACATTTCAGATTTCAGATTTTTGGATTAGGGATGCTGAACTGGTAAGTATTATGCAAATATTCCAAAATCCAAAGAACCCCTAAATCTGAAACTTCTAGTTCTAAGCATTTCAGATAAGGGATACTCAACCTGTAGTTGTCAGAATTCTGCCATCCCAAAATAAGATACTGTATTTAATGTAGGTGTGAGGTGAAATCATATAGTGGGTTATTAACGAACTTGGACTAAACTCTATTTACTAGCTATTTCTACATATTTTTAGGGCTTTTCCTTTTGAATTATGGCTATTGACCTCTCATCCTTACGTAGATCAGTGCTATGTTGTTTTTATTCTATCAGTCCCAGACTTTGCTTTCTAATTATTATGTGTATTATTTATTGATCACTCTGCTTAATTAAGACATTCTTATATTAGTGCTTTGACTCCACCTGATTGGGTTTCTGGCTTGGCTAGCTTGAAGGGTAAAAGAAACTGAAGGGTAATTTGTCATTTGTCCATCTTCTTGGGGATCATGATTCAAATTGAGAACATATTGAGAGGGGAATTTGATTGAAACTCTTCTTAGATTGAGAGATTGAGAGATTCCTATATCCTACCATGACAAGTCTTCATGTAAGATATTGAAGCCACATTGTGAAAAAGAAATAAGGTTTTTCTAAGAGCCTTAGACCAGGGAACATAAACTCAATTGTCTCTTGGGTGGGGGGGGTGGGCAGTAAGTTAGCCTACATGGAGATAGGGGTTTGTGGCCAAGTAGAGAACATACCCCATTTAAAGGGGTAGCTTTGATCAGCATTAGTAGACTGTTGCCCTGCGAACATTTGGGTCCAATGTCTCTATACTTTACAATTCTTTTTTCAAGAGGATGATAATCAGGGTTTTTATGTGAATTATCATGAATTTTAAATGTTGTAATAAATTAACAAAAAATAATTAAAATCATTATGTGGGACCCTCAAAACTTGCTTGTGTGCTGATTCTTGCACTTCTTGTCTTAAATTCATGTGTAGATGAGGATCCAAACATACTTTTTTAATAAGTCATTTATGGTTTATGTGCAACTATGTGGACAGTTCTACTCCCATGTCCAACTATGTAGACAGTTGAATAGAATGGAGTAGAGCTGCGTAAAGAAATTTGTGACACCTGTGAAGACTAGACTTACCACAGAATGGTTGGCTTCAGGTTGGTACCCGGGGCCTTTTTAGAACCTTGGCAGCTCTAAGCACTATTGATCTGAGCTCCCCTCCACGCCCCATCAAACATTAAAATGCATCCACTTTCCTGCATTTAATCTAATGTAATATGATACCATATCCGAATTGATATGGATCCATTGACTTACGTTTTTACATTTTGTAAACATTTAGCTTCACACCTATCAGTTGTAATTTTGTAGTTTTCTGGTGTTGTGTGGCCAGTTTATTTTTTTCTCATATTGTTGTGGACCCATGAGAAGCTTGCAGTTCTAAGTGTGTGGTCTATAGTGATTAATGGATAAAACAGTCCTGCTGCCCCTAACTAGAGGTCCACAAACTCTTTATTTGACCACTCCAGATGCCGGGCTATTGATGAAGACCCTGTGCTCAGTAGAGACTAGCATATAGTTAGCCAAAGAAAATTAATTTTAGTCATTTTAAATGAAGTCAGTGAATGTATGTGGTCACAGTTTTCAAAGTATGTGTCGATATTTCAAGGAATCTCTACTTCATGTCACAAACTCAGGTGGATGTGAATCCACTTGAAAATGTGTTTAATCTGCAGAGTATTAAAACAACCTTGGTTGTCTATATCTAAAAAACTTTGCATATAAATCTGGATTCCAGCTTTTCTTTAGAAATGTGAAAACACTGAACCAATTTCCTTGTATGACAACGTCTGCTCAGTGTCCTTCAGATGTGCCTGTACCCCGTAGTTCATCACGGCCTGCTTCACAGCCTGTCTTATATTCAGACCTTTGTAATCCTCTCAGGTCCTGGAGGCTTCAAGTTCGAAGACTTTGATTAAGAGGAGAAGAAACTAAAGGAGCAACAAATGATGCTCAAACCCAGTAAGGTTACTGTCACCAGACAAATTGCAGATCAAGTGCACCTCATCCTACGTAGGGTAGTAGCTGAGATGGTAAAAAGTAATTTGTGATAACTTTGTAGAGCAGTGTTTCTCAAACTTTACCATGCACAAGAACCAGCTGGGAGCTTGTTATAACACAGACTTTTGGACTTTACCCTTGGAGATTCTGATTCATGGGCCCAGGGCTGGGCTCCCAGGCAATGCCAAGGTTGTGGGTCTGTAGACTACACTTTGAGTAGCACATCATGCAGAGGGCCTTCTGTGGTAAGGTCAAGAGTTTGCTCTTTCTAAGATTATCAGTTAGAGTGCTTTGGGCTGCAGATAACAGAAAACTCAACAAACGGTGGCATAAACCATAAAAGACACCGGTTTATCTTCAAAGAAGTCTTTAGGTTGGCAGTGCTAGGCTGTCTTGGATGGTTCATTGATGTCTTTAAGAGCCCTTCTTTGATTTTCTTTTTATTCTGCTGTCCTTGGAGTTTTAGCAGTCTTCCCATGGCCACAAGTTGGCTGCTGTAGCTCTGGATGTCACATCCTCACATGAAAACGCAAAATGAGAAGCAAGGTGATGGTGGTGGGAGTGGTAGCAAATGAGTACTTTCTCTTCCTGTACATCTGTTGGCAAGAAGGAAAACTTTTTCCACTAGACCCTCTCTTTTATCTTACTGGTCAGAAGTGGATTGTGTACCAACCCTAGGCCACTCACTAGCAAAGAGGAAGATTACTGTGATCAGTTTAGACCAATCCAGCATCATCCCTGAGGTTGGGCATTGCCACATGAGCATAATTAATTAGTGTTATGCTCTGTTAGCAAGGAAGAAGGCTGTTGGAAAGACAGTCAACAGTGTCTGTACCTGAGTGCATTCGAAGAATATACATATACACATACATATTTTTTGAAATGGAATCTTGCTGTGTTACCCAGGCTTGAGTGCAGTGACCATGGCTTATTGCAGCCTCGATTTCCCAGGCTCAAGAGATCCACACATACCTGTGGTCCCAGCTACTCACGCCTCCTGGGAGGCCTCTTGAGTAGCTGGGACCCCAGGTGTGTGTTCACCATGCTTGGCTAACTTTTTCATTTTATTTTTTTGCAGAGATAGGGTCTTGCTATGTTGCCAGGGCTGGTCTTGAACTCCTGGCCTCCAGTGATCCTTCTGCCTTTGACCTCCCAAAGTGCTGAGATTACAGGCGTGAGCCACTGCGCCACGCCTGAAAAATTTTAAGTGGGCTGAAGGCTTGGTTAGAGTTTTACTTTTGTAAAGATGGATCTGACCTTTTGAGTAGATTGGTGTAGGCCCCGGCGAGAGTAGGAGAGACTGGGTAGGATGCCATCACCCAGTTGAGGTAAGGTATGGGAAGGATTTGAATCAAGGAGATGTGAATTTGGATGCAAAAGAAAAGAAAGCACTAAACAGAACCTCCCGACTTGGGAAGGCAGAAAGAGGAAGCAGAAATGATTGAGGGTGTTTGAATTTGGGGCCTGGACGAATGGTAAGACCTTGAGTGGAAGCAGAACAGAGAGAAGAGAAGCTGGTTTTGAGGAAAGATAACCAGATCAAGCTCATTTTGGATATTTCAGTGGTATATTCTTACAGAGTCATGCACTGGAACTCAAGAGAGAGTTCGGGGCTGAACAACCAAAGTTGGAGTCTTTCTGTTTGTGTTAAAGCAATGGAAATGAATTTGAGTCCTTCAAGAGGAAGGTGACAGGAAAAGCAAGGACAACATCCTTGGACTTGAGGATTGGCTGGTGTTGCCAATTCAGCTTCCAGTAATTTAGGAAGTAACATGTGAAACTCGGAGAATTTGGAAATCCTATTGCACCATTAAAAACAATGACATAAACAAGGAGTGTGTGTCTGTGTGTGTGTTTGCATGATGAAACATCTTTTCTCTCTTAACAGTTATTTGGAAGGAAGCATTCTTAAACGGTTATTAAGGGGGAATGATGTGAAATTTGCAATAACATAATTTAAAACCATATTAGCCATTCATGAATGAAAACATTTATTTTTCTGGGAAACATATTTTTTTTGGATTTTGTGAAATGTTAATGGTATCATAACTATCTTAGAGAATCTGTTTTGAGTATGGTTAATAAGAAAGGATAGGATTTTTGTTAAGTATGCTTACAAATTCAAATATATTTTGAAGGTGGATTTAGTGCTCTAAAAAAAAGAAACCCTGTTTAAAAATATAAGGAGTAGAGGCTTTCGTTTAAGGTCTGCATGAGCTTCTCACAGGTTTAATCTTATCCCTTTGAGGTAGATCGTTTTATTTTCTTTGTTTCCTAGGTTTGTATCCTTAATCTCTTCCTCAGGGAGGCCATGTTCTCTTAAATATGTTTCATGCTTTTGTAAAACACACCAGGCCCTGGAAAATGGCCCTTCTTGTATGATTAACATTCTATCTTTAATCTTAATTCAATTTTGCTTTGTTTATAAAGGAAGAATTTGAAGATACACAAATGGGCTAATATGAAGACACATTTGAGTTTTTACTCTAAATTCATATTTGAATGATCTACACTCATTCTTTTGGGGAAGTGAGGTTTTAAGCCGGATCCTTCTATTCCAAATATTGCAAATTTCATGTAGCCTTATCTACATTGACTAAATTGTTTATGCAGAAGAATTATGTCAAATATGGTGATAAGACTGAGTTTTAAAATTGAATTTATTTTAAATGGATGTAGTGTAACTACCATATTGTGAGATTTTTTCCAGCAATTTCTATACCTAATTTGTAATAAGCAAGGGATTTACTGTAGAATAATAAAAATTCTACAGTTTCTTTAAAAAATCTCCTAGGTGTAGGAAGTAGAAGTTCAAAATGCTGACCTGACTAGAAAACTTTTATGAAATATATATGATTGGTTGGAAGTTGATCTTCTTGTAAAAGGGGATGAGTTAAATCTAGAAAAATCGAACAGTTAATAAAATATACTCGGTAGATTCTTCATGCTGCTCCTTGATGCCAACTTATCTTTAATGAGAGATTCAACCTTTATTATTTGACTTATTTAAAAAATTCTAATAAAAAAATTTAATGCAAAAGTGGTTAAAATGATTGTTTTAGTAAAAATGCTTTGGTTGCAAGTGAGAAAAAGACTTCAGTGAAACTGAGTTAAATAGAAAAGGGATTGTAAGTTTTGTTTCAGGCATAGCTGGATCTAGAGTCTCAAGGGATGCTATCAAGACTTTCTTATATTAGCTCTTCTTTCATCGTTTTCTTTTCTTTTCTTTTTTTTTTTAAATCAGCCAGGCTGTACTCAAGCAGTGGGAAGTTGTCCAGCAGCAGCTCCAAGTTACATTCTCACAGCTCAGCCTTCTCAAGAGGGAGAGATGCTTTCTTGCTTGTTTCAGCAACTTTTCTGGATCGAGTCTTATTGGATAGACTTGGGTCCCATGCCCAGGCTCATAGCCATGTAGGCATGCCAGTAGGGGAGCTGGACACTGGCATCTTCTTGGAAGCCACATGAGCTAAGAGTATGGAGCTGTCGTTCTTCGGAGGAAAAACAGTGCTGATGTCACAATGAGAGAATGTGGGTGTAGGATAGGAAAGCAAAGTCCATTGAAACTGCTAACTGGAGTGAAGCTTGATGACTTTGAAGATTTCTGAAGATTTCCATTGTCTATGTTTATTATTATTCTTTGTGGAAACCAAAATAAGCCTGTGTTTATGTAATGCAGATATCATAAATATTGTTTATATTAGGAATGCCCTTCTTGTTGGGGCTGAGATTGGATGTGGTCTGCCTTCAAGAAGCCTATAGGTCACCTGGATATTCTATGGGTATGAGATTTTCTCTTTCCATGGTGGGAGATGTGGTTGGTTGATAACAAATTGTGGAGACACTAGAATGGTGAAAGATCCTAGGTTGTATTGAGTAGATACTAGTAAACTATGTGTGTATGTGTGTGTCTTGGTACATTTGCATATGTATGTGCTTACATACATATGTGTGTGTGTATAGGTAGAGGGTGACATTTTGAAGTGGGGCTAATGAGAAGATATTTTCAAGACAATGTCTGAACATGTGTGAAGAAGAGATTAGAGAGAGAGTGAGAGAGCTATTGAATGATGGATTGGGTGGTCAGTTGCTGTTGGAACGAAGACTGTAGAAAGGAGAGTTAGCCCTTAAATCCTTAAATGAAGGCTTGGTAACTATTTATTTGCAGTAATAGGAAAGAAACAGAAGATGGCTGAAGATTCATATATATATAAAAATATGTGCACACATGTGTATATATATGTACACACACACACACACACACACACACACACACAGAGCACTGCACTCCAGCCTGAGAAACACAGCAAGACCTTGACTCTTAAAAAAGTCAAGAGTTAAGGAAAAGGGCCAGTGGCTTGGACTGTGGGAACAAGATTCTCAGTGGCTGTATGGATATAGAGTGAGAAATATGTATTGTACTACACACACACACACACACACACATATGTATAGTGTATATCTATTTCAGTAGAAAAAATGTTGGGGAAGAGAGGAGAGAGAGAGAGATAACAATATGTATGGGCGTGGGAATTGATTGACAAGCCTGAGATCTATCCCTGTGTACTTTTCCTACTTCCTCTTCTTACCACTCCTCCCCTCTACCCTCACTTCATGTGTTTTAATGGTACCAGCCTTCATCCCATCTTTTTGAACTTGTTGTTCTCTCTGTCTGGAGCCCTCTCCCCGAATGTCTGCACTTGGCTGGCCTCTTCTCAGCACTCATGTCTGAGCCCAGATATTACCTTCAAGTATGTCCTGACCATTTAAAAATATCTCAATTTCTAAAATATCCTTTCCCCATCTTGCTAATTAATATCTCTCTACCTTCATAATTTTGTTCATAGCACATACCCCATTTGAATTTCTTGATTATTCATTTATTCATCTGCTCCTTGTTGATCTCTTTCCACTGAAATGTAAACTTCATGAGGGTAGGGGATGTGTTTACTTTGATGCACATGGTACATCTAGCATTTAGAGAAGTGTCTGGCACATAAAATGTGGTAAGAAGTGAACTAGAGATGAATAAAAATACTGTTGAGCAGAAGATCTGGTTGTAGTTTAGTATTTGAGTGAATATGTGTTGACATACTATGCGTCAGACACTTCTAGGCAATAGGAATGCCACAGTGAAGCCACTTGTCCATTTTCAAGGAGCTGGACTGCAGTTGTGATGATCCCTATTAGAAATGTTTAAGTTTACATTTTATTTTTAATTTTTTTAAATCAGTATTTGATATGTTGGTGGCAGGAAGAGAACAATGGATGTGAAGATGACTTGGTGGTAGATTTTGCCTAGGCAGGGATGAGAGAAGAACAGGAGTTGAGGGAAATGAGGTATTGAAGTGACTGCTTTTAATCCAAGTATTCAGGCCATTGAAGAAATTTTGGTCAAGGAATAGGAGGCCCCCATAATTGCAAAGAGGGTACATTTGGGTTCAATATACATGTAATAGAAAAAATCTTGAACAGCAATGTCTTAAATGAAGTAGATATTCATTTCTTGTTTCCCTAACCAAATCTAGAGGGAAGTAGTCCAAGGCTAGTATGAGGGCCTCTTAAATACTGAAGAGCCAAGCTGCTTCTAGCTATCCTGTGACCCTCATCCTTATGGCTCAAGGTTGACCTCCAGTCAACCTCCATGGTCCAACCAGCAAGAAGGAGGAAGGGGATTGAAGTGGATCAAGGGTAAACGAAAGTTTCCAGAAGCTGCCACATGTCACTTTGCTTATATCTCACTGGCTAGCCTGCATCACATGGCCACACCTGGTTACTCAGGAAATGTATTTTATATTGTGGCTGGCCATGTGCCCAGTGAAACTCTCAATTACTATGGAAGGAGTGAGTGGAGAGGAAGGGACACCAGGTAGTTCAGTAGGTGTGCTGTGCATGAGTGAGTGATGGGTGAGGTCTGAGAAACCC